TGTTACAACCACTTGACGTGTCAATAAACCGTCCTTTCAAGTCTCATTTGCGGCGCTTTTACCGGGACTGGAGATGCGGTTCCACGGAGATGACGCCGACTGGACGATTGAAGAAACCTTCATTAAGTCAAATGTGTGAGTGGATTGTGGCTGCATGGAACACCATACCAGAAGAAATGGTTTCCAAAAGTTTTAAAGTCACATCCATTTCCAACGCAATGGACGGGACTGAAGATGACGCTGTATGGCTGACATCACCTGACAGCGAAACTTCGAGCGAGAGCGACATCGACAGTAACGAGTCAAGTGATGAACAGTAATATGGTTCAATTACCGTGGACCAACTTCAGAAAGTGTCGCATAATTTATTCATGCGATGCGAAGCATGTTTGCGAGCAGACGGGGGTCACTTTCAGCACCTGTTATAAAGCACGGTAAGTTTGTGTTATCTTTTTACAGTATTCTTATAAAGGTGTGCATGTACAGAAACTGATGTAAGGGTATCAGCGACAAGACTGCACTCTCGCTAGCGGGGAGGGGCACAGTAGTCGCGGAGAAACGTTCCATCCGCTCTACGCTGCTGCCCCGTTTTCCTCATCTTTGAACATCCTGTATTACTAATTATGAATATATATTTTTTTAAATGAAGTGTGATTTCGAATATTTCGAATATAAGCCGCACCCCAGTTTTCCTCTTGAATTTTTGGCAAAAAATTTGCGGCCTATACATGCGTAAATACGGTACAGTGGTTGAGGACAGGAGAAAGAGGAGACTAGCGACCCGCAACTGGGTGACAAGAGAGAGAAAGATGAGGTCCAAGAATCGTCTAAGAAAGTGTAATGTGTAACCCGACACCAGTCGGCTCTTTGCGATATTGCCAAACTGTATATTGCTTGTTTATACTAATATAGGGTAGCATAGGGTGAGGATGTGGGTTTCTGTTGTGATTTCCTCCCTTACCACATTTCGCACCTGCGCCCTGCAGCCAAGCCCGGTGAACAGTGTGCCCCTAGCCAATGAAGCAACTATAGAGGAAGCAATTCAGTCGTTTCCTTAGCCCTACCCCTGTGACTGCAGTACAGGTGGTGACAGCGGGGATACCTCCACGCCCCCATGTCACCACGGAATAACATGTGGCATAACAAAAAGGAATTTGCATATTATATTTTAATCATAGAAATAAGTTTAGCAAGAATACTTTCTTGTCTTTCTATAAAGTAATTAAAACATTACAAATATATAAGCAGAAGTCTGTACTGTTAAAAGGTTTAACCAAAATAAAAAATTCTACCTGGCTGTGGACTACAGGGATAGGAAATGCCTGCACACTGCAACATGTATTTACCACAGTCAAAAGGTACTAAATTCACATATAAATGCTGAACATCAGTTTTTTTTTAATTCACTGCTAGTGGGGTGGGACTAAGTCCTTGTACTGCAGCCACTTCTGGCCTACTGTATCAGCCACCGATGATAGGTGAGAGTGGTTGTGGAGCAACTGGTGGAATGAAGATTGACAGGGGAAACCGAAGTACTCGGAGAAAACCTGCCCCAGCGCCACTTTGTCCACCACAAATCCCACTTGACCAGACCTGGGCTGCCACGGTGGGAAGCCAGTGACTAACCACTTGAGCTAGGGCATGGCCAGAAAATCAGTCATACTAAATATTCTCACTTCATATATGTTCCATACCAAAGGCCTTCCACCATGTTAGCATATATAGGAATGACAGGTCTGAAGCAGAATGGGTACAGTTACACTTTAAAGAGAAATTGGGTTATATACAGGAACATGTGGTTAAAACTCCTGTACACTTTATGCACGAAGGGTATCTCTTATCTCAAATAGGTGCTGCATTCTACTGGCAGAAAAAATACAACATGAATCAGCTGTTTTCTGCTTCTGCTCCAAAAATAGTGGATGATGTTTGGACTGTCATGCCATGTGTCTGCTGCAAATTGTTTCATGTTCTTAAGGTTATAAATTACATTGTGTTATTACATATTATTCCTTAACTAACAATGTTATTATTAATATTTGTAGTTTTTGTATAACTTGAATTGCTGAAATAGGAGTGACTTAGATGAAAAAGCAACATTGATTTCAGTTTAACCTGTGCTGGTTGTGTGCATTTGTTTACATTTCTCTCCTTCACTAAAACACTTGATTTAAAGTAAATATTCATTTTGTAACCATAATCTTGCTTAGAGGTGCATGTAAAGGTCTAATAACCGTTTTAGAAAACAACTTTTGTGTGACTCTACAATTACACAACCTAAAAATATCTACTGTAGGCATTCCCTTTTAGACTATAATAATATGTGTATTCAAATATTGTTCTGCAGACATTTTATCTATATTTCCTCCTTTATGGATGATAGTGACAAGCACCCTACTCCTGATCCAATGGCTGATACAGTAAAGAAAATGCAGAGGCTCAACAACTGGGCAGGAAAATGTGAGATATGAGAAAGAATGGAATAAGGTTCAGCATCAAACACCTCATAATCAAGGTAAAGAGTAAAGTTCACTAAAAGAAGAAGGTACAACTGTACAATCATAATTGTTGCTTCAAGTGCAACAATTATGTGAAGGAGCAAAATATGTCAAGAAATTTTTGACAATTATTGGGGCTTGGTAAATACAGTTTGAAGTTTTCTTTCTTAAAATCATCAATAACTCTAAAGGATCCAAAAAGGAGAGCCTGTTCAGAAAATTCGGTTGTGCTAATGAACTTGCAGGCCATACAGTTTGTAAGAAGTTTTTCATCAAAATATTGGGTGAAACACTGAAGCGAACCCAACACATTATCAACAGGAAAATACAGTCAGCAAGTGGGATATCTCCTACAGATAAAACAGCTCACAAAACGTCTGGAAATAAATTCCCAAAAATTTCATTTAAGTTTGCATAGACCACTCACAGACACATGTATCACTGATAAATTACAGATAACTACTGAGCATGGTAATGCAGATGCTCAAAAAATAGCAAGGCAGAAGCTGACATAAAAGAAAAACATAAAATCAGTGAGATCGTTAGAAAGGATTCAAGCCATATTGCAATCTGTTTTGACTTGCAAAAAATGCTTCCAATGCTAGTCTTCAGTAGCTCCAGAGCTCAATATGCCTGTTAAAGCTAACTTCAATTTCTTCCTTGAATTATTATTAATTTACTGCTATTATATACACTGTCATATTTTGTAATTTGCTTTTTTATTATTTTTGTGTATTTCTGTGTATTCAGAAGAGTCATTTTTATCACAAAATTCTGGCTTTTTTGCTGTCTGCAAACACAAATATTCAAACTGTAGATAACAAATTTCTAATTTCTGGACGTTGGTTTATGGAGTATGATCAAAACTTTCAATTAACAGAAAAAGCAAAGACAATTACTGACAAGAAACAAGACGGATATGGCGGATAGTATGATGAGTTGTACTAACAGTGCTGCTGTTTTTGTCGACAACAGTGGGGTACCGAGTGATATTTTGTGTATCTGTTGTGCGGAATTGGAGTTGGAAAGGACTAGGATTGAGCTGAGAGCAACGGAAAATGTAAGTGATAAACTAGAAACAAACTGTAAAAATTGCACTAATTTGAACAAGGAACTACAAAAAGCAAAGGAGGAAATACAATCTTATAAAGAAATTATGAAAGTGCCTCGAGCCGAGTTAGGTGATAACGTGAGACTAAATAAACCAAGTGAACTGGAACGAAACAATAATTATTGTGATCAAGCTGAAACCTTATTAATGGAAGAAGACTGGGAATTAGTAATAGACAAAAAGAAAAGAAATCTGGATGTATTAAATAGAAATTTAATACAAATTATACCCACAAAAGTGAATAAACCTGATTCGAAACATAACCTCAAAGATTATGAAAAACGAACCAATATGAGAACGAAGGAACTCGGAGCAAAAAACGGAATGAATCATACCTTGACAAAAGAGAAACTTAAATATGAAGAAAGTCAAAGAACACACAAACTTAAAATACGGACAATTGGCGATAGCCATGTGAAAAAAAGTGCAGCTGAACTTCGCATGATTTTGGATCATAGATATATTATGGGAATTACCAAACCAGGTGCCTTGATGAATATTTCGACAATGGCTACAGATGAAGTTGCTTCACTAAGTAATAAGGACATCCTGATCTTATGGGTCGGGGCAAATGATATTAGTAAAAATAATACAAATGAAGCACTTAAGTACTTAACGAAGTTTATGGAAGAACATAAAAGGACTAATAATATCATTCTAATCCACTCACTACATAGATATGATCTTACAACTATCTCCTGTGTAAATAAAGAGGTAGTGAAATTCAATAGGCAAGTAAAGAAAATAAGCAAACTGAATCCAAACGTGAAACTAATGGAAACGGATCTACAAAGAAAACACTTTACGAGGCATGGACAACATCTAAATCAATGGGGCAAAGAGTTAGTTGCCTCAGAGCTGGCAAAGATAATCAACTCTTAACTAAGTCAAAAACAAATCCTATCCAAATGCAATGGAAGAAGTGGTGTTATCGAATAATTGTAAAAAAGACTGTAAAATTAAATAAGTGTCAAGGTGAAAAAATAGAGGCTAATACCAAGAGCTCTATGAGATCTAGAAAAAACCCAGCAACAAAATCAAATGATTTTTTTATGGTAAAACCACTTAATAAGTGTAAAACAAAAACCACGAAAAATAACATTGTAAAAATATTTCACCAAAACATACGTGGTTTAAGAAATAAGTACAATGAAATATTATGTCATTTACAAGAGTATACACCACAAGTAATCTGTTTCACTGAACATCATCTTGGTAGAGATTAAATAGTTCATATTAAACTGACAAATTATACTCTAGGTGCATATTACNATCAACTCTTAACTAAGTCAAAAACAAATCCTATCCAAATGCAATGGAAGAAGTGGTGTTATCGAATAATTGTAAAAAAGACTGTAAAATTAAATAAGTGTCAAGGTGAAAAAATAGAGGCTAATACCAAGAGCTCTATGAGATCTAGAAAAAACCCAGCAACAAAATCAAATGATTTTTTTATGGTAAAACCACTTAATAAGTGTAAAACAAAAACCACGAAAAATAACATTGTAAAAATATTTCACCAAAACATACGTGGTTTAAGAAATAAGTACAATGAAATATTATGTCATTTACAAGAGTATACACCACAAGTAATCTGTTTCACTGAACATCATCTTGGTAGAGATTAAATAGTTCATATTAAACTGACAAATTATACTCTAGGTGCATATTACAGTAGGAACAATTTTAATAATGGTGGTACGTATATATATGTGCATGATAGTTTAACAACTCATACTATTAATCTTGATAAATTTTGTTGTGATAAGGATATTGAAGCCTGTGCTGTCACTTTAAATACTATAAATTTTAAAATAATTATTTTAACTATATATAGATCCCCTTCCAGTGATTATAAAATATTTTTGAGTAAACTTGAATTAATTCTACAAAATTTGTATAAAAAATGTTATTATTATTGTTTGTGGGGATTTTAATGTGAATTATATAGAAAACTCTCATAAGAAAACCAGAGTTGAAGATATTTTTAGCTCCTTCAATCTTAGAAGTATTATTACCTTTCCTACTAGAATAGGACCAAATTCGTCCACAATTATTGATAATATGTTTATTGACGAACAACATATTACTGACTATGAAGTTCTCTCTATCTCTAATGGATTATCGGATCATGAAGCACAATTACTAATTGCACAATTTCCATTACCTTGTATCATAAAGAATGAAATTATAGCTAAAAGAAATATAAATGATTATAATTTGGCAGAATTTACAATGAAACTAAGTTATGAAAAATGGGAACTAGTTTATAACAATAATGACATTAATACTAGCTTTAATCATTTTCTAAATATTTTGTTGAGACATTTTTTATGAGTCGTTCCCAATAACAAGTAGACAAAAATACAAACAGAAACCATGGATTACCACTGGTATAAGAATTTCTTGTAGAAACAAAAGAACAATATATCTTGAAGCAAAAAAAAGTAATAACCCTATAATAGCCACCTATTATAAGAACTATTGTAAAATATTAAATAGAGTGATAAATCTAGCTATGAAGATGACATATGATAATCAAGTTAAATATTAAAAAAATAAAGCTAGAACCACCTGGAGAATAATAAATACTGAAGTGTTAAAGAAAGGAAATAAGAGACATTATTCAAACCTTGGACATTGAAGGTAAAAAGAATACTAACTTGAATGATATTGTTGAAACATTTAACAGGTATTTTAGTGGTACAGCGGATAATATACATAAATATATAAAAGGAAATGGTAAAAATACCAAATCTAAAACTACTAATTATATGACATACTTGACATTTGAGAGTCAACTACCTAGCATAAAAACTATAAAAACTACAAGTAAGGAAATAGAAAGGATTATATGGTCCCTAAAATCTAGTCAAACCCATGGATATGATGAAATTTCAAATAATATACTCAAAGCCTGTAAAATTTTTATTAGCAAACCGATAAGTTACTTACGTAACAGAGCTTTGCATGAGGGTATTTTCCCAGACAGATTAAAATATGCTACAATTATGCCAATATACAGAAAAAGTGATAAAAACATAGAATCAAATTACAGACCTGTATCCATATTGACATCTATTAGTAAGATTTTTAAAAAGGTAATGCATGGTAGATTGTTAAAACATTTGAATGATGATATTAAATAAATACCAATTTGAATTTAGAGAAAATCAAGGGACTGAAAATGCAATTTATAGACTTATCTCTGGAATACTAGACTCTTTAAATAAAAAAGTGCAAGTCTCTGGGATTTTCTGTGACTTAGAAAAGGCTTTCGATTGTGTAAGCCATGATATATTTATTATTGGATAAATTGAGGTATTATGGAATAAAACAAACAATACGACCTTTATAAGTAATATCTATTGGATAGAAAACAGAACTGCTATTTCCAATAGGACAAACAGTAGTAAAGTAAACTCACAATGGGTTAAAGTAACTAATGGTGTCCCACAAGGGTTGATACTGGGACCACTGTTGTTTATAATATACATAAATGACTTGCCCAAGATTTTAGAAACTAAGAGTATTCCAATTCTATTTGCTGATGATGCCAGTTTTTTTGATCTCTCAAGACAATCCAAGAAAACTTAAAAATACAATAAATAAAGTATTGGTTTAAAAAAAAATTATGTCACTGAATTTAATGAAAACATATTATATAAACTTCACTGTAAAAAATAATGTAGTTAGAGAAATGGGGGGCATAGGAACGGTTTTATTAAACACAAATTACATAACATTTCTTGGCCTGACTATCCAAAATGATATAACTTGGGATAGACATATAGATGAGATAATAAAGAAACTAAATACAGCTTGTTATATGATAAGAAATGTAAAACCAGTGGTGTCTGTAAAAACATTAAAAAGTGTTTATTACTCATACTTCCATTCTGTTATGACATATGGAATAATGTTTTGGGGTAACTCAACACAAGCTGAAAGAGTTTTAAGATACAAAAGAGGGTTATAAGAATAATAATAGGATGTGGTTTCAGAGAGTCATGCAGAGAAGTGTTTAAGAATATGAATATATTCTCTTTAAGAACACAGTATATATACTCTCTTCTGATGTTTGTAGTAAAAAAACAAAGAAATATTTGATACAAATAGGGATTGCTATGATATAAACACTAGACATAATATGGACATATATATGAGCCAGGTAAATTTGGCGAAATATGGTAGTGGGGTAATTCACATGGCCGTAAGGATTTACAATGCACTACCTAATAAAATTAAAGTAATTTCTAATGATTATTTTAAGAGATAATGATTATACAACTAATTTTTTCTAATCTAACTATTTGGATGATATGGCCTACCAGTATGTGGAATGGCAAGTTGTGAATTTGACAGTGGTTTTCTCGCGACCTGTGTGTGTTATCCTGACAATTTGGGCTGTCTGTACGAGGCTTGATTGTATGTTTTATTGGACTAGGGACAAATGATATGTAGTCATCATGAAATTTTAATTTTGTAATTTTATAAATGTAATGTTTTTATATCTTGGATTTGTTATATATGTATAAGATATTCTGTTATTTTTGATGAAAACTTTTATCTTAAATTTTAATCAATGATAAATTTGAATGTATTATGCTAGAGACAAATTGTATTATGATGTAAACATGCATTGTCTTATTTTATGTCTTCTTGACAATTGCTTATGAGTATTAGCAAGATAAATTGACACAATTCTGTATCTAAGGCTTTTGCCTACTATACATGTAATGGAATAAGGAAATAATAATAATAATAAAGACTGGGAGACTAGTGTGGCCAAAGCTGGTAAGAAATTCACTGTGGTGCAGGAGAATCAAGATCCCATCACTCTTGAAGAGCTCAAGCGATTTTTCAAAGACTCGGTGACCAGATCCAGTGGCTCAATTTTACAACACGAGAGCAATGGACACTTTTCTACAAAGAAAACTTGAGACTGCACCATTCTTAAAGCTAAACTTAAAGTCACCTTAAGCTGTAAGAGAGATCCTTAAGTTTCCTGAACTGAATGACCAAAGATAAAGCACTTGAAGTTTAGAAGCCTGCAGAACTTCCTACCATTTGCGCCTCCAGTGCACCATGACTTCTACACTCTCTTCAACGACAAACTTCAGGAGGGCGCTGAAGGAAGAGGATGGTCAAGAGTGTGTACCAGACAAGAAGAATGAAAATGACCGTGAACTTGATAATCTTGAACACGTTTCTGAACCTGACTCTGACTAATGACATACCACTACACCCCCAATCAGCAGATTTTCATATAAAAATATTTTCTTATGACATAAAATTGTTTCTACAGAAATTACTTCTTGTAATATGAATGTTTAGTGTGTTTTAATTTGTACATTTATTGACACTAGCCCAATAATTTGGAATACAAGGGATATAAGTGAAATCTTTTATCATGAAATCACTGTTTAAAATCTTAAATTTTACGATTAAATGAAAATCTTTTAAAAACTACAGCATATGCTCATAACTCAAGCCTACATGAAAAAGCAGCATTATAGAACTCTCATGTAATTTTCAATTATTACTGAAATTTGAACTCCATTTTCTCAGAACAAGGTTTACGTCACTTATATCCCATGTGCTTTAGACCCCTCTAATAAGTTCCCCAAAAAATACCAATAAACAGAAGCTCAAGTGGTACAGCATTCCTTAGTAAATCAAAATAATAGGTTTCATTCAAAACCTGACGAAATACAAATACCATATCCTTCACGCATGCACAATTTATATCAGCAGGCATTTCAATAAGACCCGGAGCTTCGTTCTGCAAATGGCAATTGTCAATAGAAATCCCCAAATGAAGTCTGGAAGACTTCACGCTGGAGCCACACTTCATAATGCTGTTTGAAGTAATCAGTCAGTTCAAAGGGCTGTCCCAAGACACTAGTAATACAATGGTCTGATGGTTCAAAGTCTGGGTCCCTGCTGCTTGCACTGTAGCGACGGTTATTGAAGCGGTCCACACAAGCTCTAAGAGCACACTCCTCTGCCTGCAATGTACACATGACACATTCAACTGTTTTACATTTCATTTTGACTGTTCGCTGTTAAACCAAGCCAATCACAGTGGCTGTAGTGTCTCAGGCATTTACTTTTGTATACCACCTGAAAACTGGGATCACAGGTTTGAATCCTACACTGACAGCATGATATAGAGTAAAACCTCACTAATCCAGTTACAGTTAATCCAGATCAAAATATGAAAAATGCTGTTCGCAGCTGAGTACATACTTTAAAAGACATGTGACATTTAGGAAGGTGGATGAGTCATGTATCTGCTCAGACAAAACTTGACAGTGTCTTCAAACCTGCATTATTTCGTTCAGTAACAAGTACAACTTCTGAGTATTCTATTGATAATTAAATCTACTGTATTTTTATAGTTTAAAACAAAGGCTCTACAGTGATATTTTTTATTTTTCATCAGCACTACTTATATCATTAAATGTTCCATTAATTTGTGGTCTAAGTTTTTTTTTCCTTTCTTTTTGGGCTACCTTTTGCTTTACTAATCTGGATCACAGCTTAATCCATTTGACCTCTACCCTCTCAATTACTCCAGATTGTCGAGAGTTTACTGTATATCTGCATCCTTTGTTTGTGATGTTCTGTGCAGGCATAGGCCTTGCAAACAAATGACTCCCCATTCATGGATGCCTAACAAACGTCTGTATATAAGATCATAAAATCCAGGAAACGGAAAAGCTGAATCCAATGGTCTGTAGTGGCACACGAGATGAAGATACTAGTACAAGCTAATTCTCAAATGTCTAAGTCAGTGGCCCCAATCATTAGGGGTGTGGGCGATTCAAGGGGCACGATGAGGCCATGAGAAAGAAAAATCCAATTTTAGTGTCAAATTCAGCCAAAATAATTTAATTTAGCTGCCTTTAATCATGTCTTCCATAAGCACAAAAAATTTAGTGTGGCTTCATTCCGACATCTGTCAGCATTATTCATCACCAAATAAAGAGCAGCAGGTATCATTCTCATTTTAATAATTTAAATTTTCTTACTCAGTCTTGGTATGGTATTAATTACAAGTTAGTTAATGTTAAACAATAATTTACTGAAGTAAAGGCAAACTGGCATGACATGAGGATTTGGTGAAACTCAAAGGGGGCTAAAGTTTTCACTCTGCTCAATTAGTTAAGCACTATGTCATGAAGACTTACGGGAGGGTGGAGGTATAGCTCCACCATTCTTGACCTCAGCATCAGATGGAGGTGAATGGTCAGCTTCATGCTGCTGCTGCTTTACTCCTGGGGAAAGATCCCCCAGTACCATTATGATAGGAGCTGGGGGGGGGGGGGCAGAGCCAGTCTGGACACTGTGCAGAAGAGAAAGATCTTGCACTGTTGGGAACTGAACCCAGGGCATACAGCCCCATAGCCCATTGTTATACCGACTGTGATGTCAAAAAGTATGGGAATGACTGCTCCAATTGTATTGTAACACAGATGGCCAGAGTGCTGCTAGGTAACGGGCCGGTAAACACCTTGTGACTGAATACACACAAGGCAACAATAGAAGAATAGCCATTTCTATGCAAGAACATGTAAACAACCTGCAGTTGAGTTCATTACAACAGAAGTCAAGAGAGAAAGAAAGAAAGAAGTTTTCTATGTGATCCGTGTGCAGACTAGCGAAGACTGGGAATCCTAGTGAATGTACATCAGGGACAGAGCTGCATTTAAGCATGATTAAGAGAGCTTGTAAACAAAGTGCTAATTAATCCAGTCATTCGAAACAGAACCCACAATTATTCGTCACGTGTACCACCCTACATGTGACAGTATTCAATGTTTCTGATACTGGAACTGGCCAAAGGGCCTAATTCATAACAGACGAAGAACAAAGTAATGGTACAGAAAACAACAAATGAACAAAGGATTGTGAGAGTGAATACACCCACAAAAACAGACTTATGATATACCTGTTACCTGAACCCGGATGTATGTAGTGAAATGGGCTTTACAGTGCCCAGTGGCATAACCCATATACTATTTTTTTTTTGTTCACTTAGGTATCATTTCAATTCTTGTATTAGGGTTTTACTCAGGTCTGTCTGGTAAGACAGACAGTGTATCTTTTCAGTCTATGTGCAGTTTTGCTATTGTCTAGTAGATTCGCTGCTAGTGCATTTATGTGGTCTTCTGATTTTCTTAAGTATTTATTTCACTGAGCACTGTGTTCATTTGTAGATCTTCACGGATCCTGTGGCTGTTTATGTACCGAGGTGCGTTCAGAATGGATCGGGGAGTCTTGGATTGAAAGAGCTGGAGGATTTCAATGTTGGAACTGGAGGCTGTCCCCCATAGCTGAATTCCATAGGTCCATATGGGTTTCAGTACTGCTTAATATAGGAGTTTGCTTCCTGTTGATAGTGTTGATCTTCTTCCAAATAGTCAGTTCATTTGTTTCACTTTTTGGTTGAGCTGTTTTGTTTTTGTTTTCATGTGATTTACCCATGTCAGCCTTCTATCGAGATACATGCCCAGGCATTTCCTTCATTTTTCTGATGTAGATCAACATTGCCCACTTGCATTGTTGGGCAGATCTGGATGCATAGAGTGAATGTAACATGTGTAGATTTCCTTTGATTTATTTTAATTCTCCGTTTCTTTGCCCATTCATTGATCTTATTGATGGTAACTTGGAGTTTCACCGAGGCTATCACTGGAACTTCCAACAATGAATACAATTTGTTCTTTGTATACAAACAAAAAGTACCTCCCCCCTTCCTTTTTATGAACAAACTGTCACTGGCAAAGTACACCTAGACATTTTGGAGGGAATCCTTGTGCCTACTTTGCAAGAAGAATGTCCAAATGACATACTCATCCAACAAGATAGAATACCTCCACATTTCCACACAGAAGTGATGGACTTCTTAAATTGCAGGTTTCCACAAAAATGGATTGGCACAATTAGGACTATCACTTGGCCAACTCGTCATTTGCCTGGTCTTACTCCCCTGTGTATGTGCCACCAATGGCTACCACTCTGCCAGAACTTGCTCCGAGGATACGAGCTTCAATGGCTACAGTGACCATACTACTTTTATAACAAGTGCAGTGACATTCCATACAAATGTTATCTGTCAGGCCAATCAGTACCCTCACTCAAACTCTGCAACATGTAGGTCACAGAATGTTAATCATACACCCGTATCCTACTCAAATGTTTCTAGTTTTCATTTCTATTCTTTTTAGTTCATTAGCAATGTTTAAAAATTTCATGTATACAACCTATATTATCATGAGGGTTTCTTGGTGTCTGGATTATGATGCCAAGTAGTCTGTTGAAAGTCAACTGACATTTCAGAGGAATGTATCTAAAAACGCTGGTTAAATTTCAACAGACTATATAGCATTATATCCCAGATGACAGAGCTCTTCACAGTCACTGCTGAAAGTATTTCAAATTATGAATTACTGTTTGTGTGGTGCCACAATTACATCATTAGCATTTTCCATAGACAGTTTTATAGATTACGTGACATTCTCTCATCTTGCCTGATTATCAAAGTTATGAACCGGAAGGAATATTTAATTCAATTATCTTTATCACTTAACATGACAGAAACCATAAGACATACAGTTTTCTCTTAATGACTGGGTCAAATATGGAAAGCTGTACTCCAATTTTGCTATTCCTCAGATTATTTTTAAGGAAACTGCAGAGAATATACGAACTATACAAAAACAATTCCTCTAATTTCCAATGGATACCAACACATGTTAGGCCCACTGAGAAATAAAATGGAAGGAACTAAACAAAAATATCATCATACACTGTTTGAATTATTATAGGAGTACTTGAAACGTAAACTCACCTGAAAATCCCATGGCCGTGCATCCAGATCATTACCATATGCCCAGTCATCATTGAGACGATGACGAACTTTCTGATATATGGCACTCATTGTTCTCATATTAGACTTTCTCCACTGACGTCCAAGAAACTTGGTCTGCATTTTGAGCAGTTTTAATACATACAGTTGCATCATGGCATGACGCACTTTCAGTGTACGTTTGAGAATTGGTGCTGATTTAAACACCACTAACATCATTATGCGTGAATGTTTCCATTTGGTGAGCTTGTTCAAGATCCGCAGAAGATTGATGCATGAGAAAATGTTTCTCCATGAATACTGCTGATTGTCACCTATTTCAAGGCTTTCTGCTGTCAATTCTGGCTGATCTCCGATAATGCATGATGGGAAGTCAAGAATTGGGATGGTATTCTTTGCTCCGACATATGCCATTATATTCTGATTAAAAAACTTTAGAACTAATGGAATACAGTTTGCAAATACTAAATGCTGAGACATAAATTCAAACTGGTAAATATGGTTCAACTTTAAATGTTTCAATAAGAGCAGAAGTATTGCAGATACTGCCTTCACAATAATCTCCTTATGTCTGTTAACATCAATGCCTAACTTCATGGACTGCAGAACTGTCAAAGGCATTTCTTCTGGAAGAACATCTGACATAATATTGATAGAATCAGTTTTAGCCTTTGAAGTTGGAGCTGCTGCAAGCAAAATTTTTAATAATGCAATCATATACTGTGGCAAGTTTGGCAGCATCGCCTGGTAGAGCACTTCGGTTGCTGTCTGAGGCACACTCAACTCTGGTGTTGAGATGGGATTTCTTGCTATGTCTTCCTCTTTCTGAATCTGTACTTCTGCCAAAGATGTGTACATATTGTGTTTCAACACTTCCACTCCTTCGTGAATGGGTTGTGGCAGTCCGGCAAGAGAAACTCTATCTCCCTGTAGTTGGAAGCCAACAAATTTTATTCTTGTGCTTTCTAGGAACTGGTCAAGATCTTTCTGGCGAGCTTTTGGTGTCCAGGGGAGACCTTTTCCTTTACTAGGGGCAGGTGTACTTGGACGGGGGCTAGGAGGTCGTGGAATTTCTCCTGCCTCTTCCATTGCCTGCCGCTCCTCAAACTCTCTAACCTCATCATCAGTTTGGTCTGTTGGCTCATAATCCATTCCCATGGTTTCATCCAAGGAACTCTGCTTCATGAGACTTCGCCTGAATGGTCTGCTGTTCCTCTTCTGGTTTTGGGTTTCAAGCAAATCTGCTGCACTGGCTGGAGGTGATGATGCTCTCATTGTTCGGGCAACTTCCATTGTGTCCTGGGTCATGCTTAAACCTGCCTGTTCTCGATATGTACGTTTCAGCTCCCGCAATGTATCCATCCCACCCAATGATGTCAATATAGTCTTCCAAAGTAAGAGGAGAACTTTTTTCATGGGGAAGTGTGGTGCTGACCCACTGCAAAAACGTGTTACCATTCCTAACAGTTTCACTGCCAACAATTCTTCTCCAGCCAAGTTCCCTAAATCACTTTTGAAGGCCTCACAATAGTTCTGTATTTCATCCGTATCATCATCTCTCACAGTACGAATTACTTCCATCATGATATATAAAACACTGAGTACTATTCTTAGATCAGTTGAATCAACTACACTAACTGCAAGTTTTCTTAAAGCTGTTGATGCTGCAGAACTATTTTCTATTTCAATGTTTAAGAGTTCTATGAAGGCACCGAAGACTCCACTTTCATAGAGCAAAATAACATTTTTACGAGTCCACATCTGTTGCTCGGCATCTGATTGTAATTCAGCCCAGCAGCCCTGCGCCAAGTATAATATGCAACGAGCAGCTTTCATTCTGGTGGCTTTATTTGACACTTCCAGTTGGTCCATGAGTTTCATCACAATTGACCTTCGTTTACAATCCGAAAATTTTAACCAAAAAGGACTCAGTTTCCATTCCCTCATTTGATCCTCAAATGCTTTGACGTTTAACTGGAATTCCGGTTGTTCTGTATAACTGTAGAGCTCTGCCACCTCATTGACTAGGGAATCCGCATCATCATATACAAAATCCAAGTCAGGACATTCTAGTCCACTGTCAGAATCCTGTCTCTGACGACTGTATATATCCATCAGTTTGGGCATTGTGCGCTTACCATTGCCGTTCGGATCCATTTCAATGTAATCTAAAATCACACTAGTCCCTACACGGATGAATAAATATCTGTAAAAGAGTCACGCTTCACTCTATTCCGTCCTTCACATCGTATCATAGCTTAAAAGCACTCGAAATTGTTCGCAACATTGCTAAAACACTCATACCGAAATCAATCTGCACCACACACACACACATCATTTACCTGATCGTACCTGCTTTACATCCATATGTGTTTCTTAATGTCTCCACTTGTAGCGCTGTTAGTTGCACGATTCAGTTCCACCAACCCGCCAGCTTACTTCTTTTTATGCATAGATGCTTTACTGTAACGATATTAAGATCTAAAAAAATAAACAGGAAGATGTTTTCAGATAAAGACAGGACAATGGATAATGTCCATACACATAATATTTGTAACGATATTTGTTGGCAACATAGCGCCATTCCTAATGTGCTGCCACATATGAGTCATATTGTAAACACAACATCTGCGGTGTAATCGGTAGGCCAGTTGGTAAGAAGGTCACCTGCTCTCCCACCTTCAAAAATAACCATCTGCACCCTTACCATTTCAATATAAACCTTTAGAGTACTTATATTCCAGGAATTATAAACCATGATATCGCAGAGTAACCTACACCGTCATTAGGGCTCACACATCTCACTTCCCCTTTACTCATCAGACAAAGGTTTTCTTAGTTAGTCAACATAAGAAGTTAATATTCATGAGGGCTGAATACAGCTGTGATTCGGAAATTATCAATGAAAGAAAATGTTTTGATCAGAGATGTTTGTATTCAACTGTATAAGTAGTGGCATCAGTCATACAAAACATATCAAACTGCTTTGATTTGTGACATATAGCATGAAGAAATACTTAAAGTTTCAGGATATTAAATATTCACATATTTACCACACACACAAGGGAGGACAATTTCCGGAACAACATCCATTTACAGAGTTTATTGACTGTAACCTGCCTGAGGTACAAAAATTGAAACAGTATGAACCATACATAAAACACCATTACCATGTTCAAATGAGAATAGTCAAGAGGATCACAAGCCTTTATACAGGAACAGAAGAAATGACAGAATACAATACATTATTGCAGCACTAAAAAACCAACAGTAAAATGTAGGCTGTAGTCCAGATGAAAGCACCTGATACCAAACAGAACTACCTCCCCCACTTAGGTATTGAAGTTTTCAGGTATTAAAACCCAGATCATTTTGCTGAAAATATTAAAGGTAAAAAGGTAAAGCTGTTCCTCTGCTTAACTAATTGCACTACACCAGGAATCTTCATGGGGACAAAGAGTAGGCAGCTGGGGGGTAAGGCTGACAACCTCACCTTTATCTGTGATCCAACTGTCTAGAAAATGTGGGAGCCTCAATGTCTCATAACCCTGTGGGTCTCCATGAACTGCTACGGGGCTAGCTTTAACTTTTATCACTTTTAAACCACTTGATGCTAAGTCATAAATAGGTTTAAACTAGTACTAATTAAAAAGGTACGTGAACTGTGGAATAGAAACCAGTCTGTTTCATGAAACGTGGAGATAGAAAGCATGGTGCTGAAAGTAAAATTAATCTATTAATCAATTAGATCTGTAATTGAATCATCATAGTCCTTCAACTGGGATAACTCAGTCTGTATAGCGACAGGCTACGGGCTTGACAGATGCGTTTTGATTGCCAACAGAACAATATTTTTCTATACTCCACTGGGCCCAGACTGGCACTAGGGCCCACTCACATCCTATGCAATGGGTACCGGAGGGCTGTTTCTCAGAGGGCAAAGACCACAGCAGTACATAAATATGCAGAGCCTGATTTTGTGTTTGTCAGATTCGCATAGTGAGTTTATTTTTAATACATTAGACTAAATGTTCATTCTTCATTTTTATTTATAGTATGTTAATTAAGGTAGAATATTTTGGCCAATTTTTCCTTCTTCAATTCGTATACAAGTGAAATATATTCCCTCAACGACAAAAACAACTTACAAAACAAATAAATGGAAAATTTGATAATACAGATTGTGCTGATAAAAATTAATAAACAAAATTTCTGTAGAGCTTTAATAAAGACAATAAGCTGAAATTCAAGGTTCCCTTCATCCAGCTGAAGCCAAACTTTGATATTTCCTTGCGTGGTTTCAGTCTCTCCAGCTACCCTCAACACAATCTGAAAACTCTATTGCTTCAAAATGCCAGGTGTCTTTTGAAGTATGTACTCAATTGTAAACAGAATTTTTCAGTTTTCATATTTCAATGTGGATTATCCAGATTAAATGTAACCGGATTAGCGAGGTTTTACTGTATGCACATTTTTGCTGGCTCAGTTTTAAGGTAGTAGGTGGGCCATACCATAGCTAAAGCGGTTAGTCACTGGCTTCCCACTGCAGTGGCCTGGGTTCAAGCCTGGGTCTGGTCATGTGGGATTTGTGGTGGACAAATTGGCACTTGGGCAGGTTTTCTCTGAGCTTTCCAGTTCCCCTGCCAATCTTCATTCCACCAATTGCTCCTCAGTCACCATTATCTACCACTGAGCTGGTACAATAGGCCAGCAGTGGCTGCAGCACCAAGTGGACTTAGTCTCACCCCACTAACTAGGAATCAAATTCTGGCAGAACAAATTCAGGCTGGAGGTGAAACATTATGGTCTGAGATCCACAAACTCATTAATTCTATCTGGAGTAAGTAAGAAATGCTTGATCAGTGGTTTTATAAGATTCACAAGAAGGGTGATAAAACTGACTTCAGTAATTACACTTGGTCAACTTATGATCAGCTGTACTCACGACCACAAAAATGAAGAATAAAAGATGATTAAAAGGTAGAAGTTTTTAAAAATAAATTATAAAGATGATAAAAAGAATAGAAAGGTTAAAAAATGCTGTTAATATATATATGGCCGACACATGACCAGATCGACTTACGACCTGTCAGTCAGAACGGAAGTCGGTCGTAAGTTAACGACCAAGTGTATTGTGGGGATATAACTGCTGTCAACTGTACACAAAATTTTATTTAGTATTCCTCTCTCAATGCTATGTCCATATATGGATGAAATTATTGGGGATCATCAGTATGGCTTTTGGCAAAACAGACCAACTCCTGATCAGATTTTTTGCATTCATCAGATACTGGAGAACAAAAATTGGAGTACAATGCGACAGTACATCATTTATTCATAGACTTCAAGAAAGCCGATGATTCTGTCAGGAGGGAAGTATTATACATTATTCTCATAGAATTTGGGTTACCCATAAAAGCATATAGGCTGATTAAAATGTGCTTAAATAAAATGTATATTAAAGTCCAAGCCTGATAATTTGCCTATCCAAAAAGATCTAAAACAAGGAGATTCTTTATCTCCATTCTTTTTCAACTTGTTTTAGAATATGCCATTAGGAAGATCCAGGAAACCAGACATAGCAGAAATTAAATGGGCTACATCAGCTGCTGGTCTATGCTGTTCGTGTGAATCTATTGGGAGATAACATAGATACCATAAAGAAAAATACAGAAACTTTAACAGGTGCTACTAAAAGGTTGATCCAGAAGTAAATGCAGAAAAAACTAAGTATATGTTGCTGTCTCATCACCAGAAGGCACAACAAAATCATGACATAAAGATAGGAAACAAATATTTTGAAAATGTGGCACAGTTCAGATATTTTGGTATGATATTTCAAAACCTGATTCAGAAGGAAATTAAGAGGTGACTGAACTTGGGTAATGCTTGCTACAATTCAGTCCACAACCTTTTGTTTTTTGTCTAAAAATGTAAAATTAGAATATACAGAAGTATAATTTTGCCTGTGGTTCTGTATGGGTGTGAAACTTGTTGTGACATTAAGGGAAGAACACAGACTGAGGGTGATTAGAGAAAACTGCATGATAAACTTCATAACTTCTAATCTTTGCCAAGCACAATTAGAATGATCAAGTCAAGGAGGATGAGATGGGCATGTAGCAAGCATGGGAGGGACGAGAAATGCATATAGGATATGGTTGGGAAAGCCAGAAGAAAAAAAAGACCATTAAGATGACCAAGACCAAGGTGAGTGGGTGGGTGGATAACATTAAAATTGATCTTACAGAGATATGATGCGCTGGTATGAGCTGGATTGATCTGGCTCAGTATAGAGACCAGTGGAAAGCCCTTGTGAACATAGCAATGAATCTTCTGGTTCCATAAAATGTTGGGAAGTTCCTGAGTAGCGACACAATTGACAGCTTCTCAAGAAGGGCTCAGCTCCATGAAGTTATTTATTTTGTGTTAAGGTTTTCTATCATCAAATGTCTATATCGGATAGAGATAATTTTTACATGTTACTGTATTATATACCCTTGTTGCAATATATTGGTTCATAATAATAATAAAAAACAATGTATTTATTATTATGGTCATCCATTATTATTTAAAAAATGTAAATAAAATGTTATGACAAATATGGAATAAGTTACAATTTTGGGAACTTCCAAGCATTCCCATTTCCTGTTTCGAAATGGCAAAGATTAATACCTGATGGGAATTTGGAAACATTATGTTGTTGTATCCCAAGATGGGATGGGCTGGCAGGACAAGCGGTTGCCTTGGAGAACAGTGCAGGGTATGCTGAGTGCTACAGGTGAAAGTCACTAAGATATTTATTATAATATATGTACAAGAGTTGATTAAACACCAAGAAAACAACTAACAGTCTGCTTAAGCAAGGATGGGGGCAGACTTTTACTTCAAGTCAGATGTGTTCCACACATGGATACAGATAGATTCAGAATCACTACACAAATTAGGGGTGGCTATTGCTGGATATTTACACAGATCTAGCAATGCCAACCTTTCTGATGTTTCTTGTAATAGCATTATAAAATGGGCTTTCAGGGACCTTCTTAAATCTCAGTACTCTGCTGTTATATATGAGGGGGGGACCCAAAAATAACCGGAACCGACCTGTTGCACGCGCATGCTTTGTAGTTACGAGTTGTGCTGCTAGGTGGTGTTAGCTGGGGGTCTCCCGCGACTGTTAGTGAGCTGGCGTCAGTCTGAGTTAAGTGGTTTGTCTGTGGTGCTCTGTTGTGTGCGTTCCTGTTTCAACCCTTTGGCGATTAGTGAGATGGCCGACCAGAAGGAACAAAGAGCGTGCGTGAAATTTTGCTACCCATAGCACCAAGACTCATCGCCAGTCACAATTCTTTTAAGAAATNCAATTGCACGTTTGATTTTGGCAATGTTTTCGTCATTTCTTCCTGTCGAAGGACGCCCGGGGCGTGGCATGTCTTCTGTTGACATGTTGCCAGATTTGAAACGGGAAAACCACTCGTAGACCTGTGATTTCCCCAAAGCATCATCATTAAAGGCTTGCCGAAGCATCCCAACAGTCTCGGCTGCAGTTTTCCCTAACAGAAAGCAAAATTTCACGCACACTCTTTGTTCCTTCTGGTCGGCCATCTCACTAATCGCCAAAGGGTTGAAACAGGAACACACACAACAGAGCACCACAGACAAACCACTTAACTCAGACTGATGCCAGCTCACTAACAGTCGCGGGAGACCCCCAGCTAACACCACCTAGCAGCACAACTCGTAACTACAAAGCATGCGCGCGAAACAGGTCAGTTCCAGTTATTTTTGGGTCCCCCTACGTACACAGACTCTGGCTTGCTATTATGATTGCCTTCAAATAATAAGCTGTTCCTTCCACTAAGATAACTTGTTTACAATTATGGTTTTAAAAATAAAGAAAGAATACTGGTTACAGAATTGTTACAAATCATATGTTTACAATAGAATTATCTTGTGCATTAATATCTACACTATCTACCAAATTTTTGTTAATACTACTGAACTCCTTCCCAACATCATTAAAACTACACTTTACACCTCCAATAGTTACTTTCTTTACAATGACACATTCAACAATTATATGCACAACAAATATGTACATAACAAGGCTGACACAATGTTTCTTTGAGGATATCTTTCACTCTATAGTTGATTTGTTCTCATGGCGTTTCTTTTGCATTTGCCATAAATGAGAAACCTGTCCAACTGTTCTTTGTCAGTATACATACTGATAAATTCTTACTATAGTAATCTATGTGAAGTACGGCATTCATCTAAGTGAAAAAGTAGTCTAGCTTGTATCAGGGGAAGGAGTGTAGTTGATCTGCAATGCTATCTGTTAATAAGTAGTACCAAGCTGTGCTTGAAGACCTGACATCTGTCTTCAGTGCCAAATGCAAGTCTTTGATAAATTTGATTTGGTTCATTCTGGTCCATCACACTAGCAATAGTACAAAAGATTATCAACTCCATCCAGTGTGATTGACAAATGTTTTTGAACCACACTTGTAAATAAACTAATTATAATTTATAAATATTTTTATAAATTCTGGCATATTGCTGTATTTGTTAAATCCTAAGATTTTATATTCATGACATTGTAATGGTATTGTATGTATGTATTGATAATGATGAATCACATTGTAATAGTAGTTTCTGCAAGCATTGATATGTCCTCCTGAAGATGGTAGCTCCAACCAAATCATGTCAAGAATGAGATAAAAAAAACATTTATCAATCACACTAGATGGAGTTGATAATCTTTTATATTATGCAAGTCTTTGACTTGTAATATCTAAGTAATAACCAGTCAGAAATGAACAAATATTGTGATGTACAGACCCATTGCTAGGCAACAACTCGGTAAACTCATTTCCACAGGAACCAATGTGTGCAACAATAGAGTATCTATTGATAGGCAATGGATCAATAAATATGCCTAAAACAATACGGGATAGAAGACAATGTTTTCCATGGAGACTACCCCAAGGCTATATAACAAGAAGTGTCAAGGGAGCAGTTAGCTCCCCCGTGTGGAGGCAGGATCAAATACCTCAACCGTGACCCTGCGAGTCGTAGGAGGCGACAAAAACGTAGTCTCAGATCTGAGACAGTAAAATAAGGTCGTGAGTCCAAAAGGACTCAGACCCGAGTAAGACTGCACTGGGAAGGGGCAGCAGCATATACAAAAGACAGAGACAGAGACTGATTTCTTCAGCCTGTTCTTGTGACTAAAAGAACTATTTTAAATATATTACACAAAGAAAACTGCCCTGAACTGTTTTCATTCAAGACTACCTTAGTACTGACAGCTTACCATACAAAATACCAAAAAATGGCAGCTCTCCAATAAGCATGTCCTGATTCTTGAGATGAACATGCATTCTGAATGACCAATTAAACATATTTTAGGAATTTTAAGGTCTTTCATTCTGGTCCGTCACACTAACCAATTAACAATCAAGTTTCTTCCGTCAAATGTGACACTTTTTTAAGTTTTCCACCTCGTCAGCACCTGCCTTACATGTTTCGGCTCACCACGGAGCCATCATCAGAGGCATTTATAGTAGAAAAAAAACGAAAAA